GAGTCAAATAAATTTAATCAGAAAAAAAGTATATTGTGTTTGTTAGAGACTCAGACATTTGTCATTTATTTATATTGCTTTTTGAATTTTTATATGTTTATTTCTTCATTTTATTATATTGTCTAATTAAATTACTTTAATCGTTTAACTGCCTGTTGCTGAATAAATAATAAATAAATAAAATAAATAATTTTACATTTCACAAACCACTAATGCGAAATTTTCTAGATGAAAATTCACTGGCCTTGCAATAATAGGCGGAATTCAATTTTATCGGCACGAAATGCACTCGATCACCGCAACCGAATAATTGGTTTTGCTGCTTAATGGGAAAATTCTTCATACAACAACTGGCAGCTGTTATGCGAACAACAACTGTGATCTGATTCATTAAACCATTCATATATTACGCTTACAATACAATTTGGAAGCATCTTTAAGATAGAATGTACTCAAAAGCATATCACACCGACGGACGGACGGACAGACATGCATGAATAGATTGATTCACAATGTTATTTTGATTTCCAAGCGATTACAGGAATATTTCACAAACAAAAAAATTACACTTCATACGCATTAAAGCTCAGATAAGTTGAAAGGCGATTTCTCACGTGTGCTGAATCAAAAACAAAAAAGGACGAATTTTCGCATGATAATGAAACATATTTATAAACTGGAGTCGTTATAACCATAGCTAGCAACGGGAGATAACGGAGACGGCAATGTATTAAGAATCGTTCGCCGTCGTGAATATAAAATAAAGAAAATCGATCAAGGGCTATGCGCCCAATGCTACGTGAAGTAAGAGCATATCTGTTTTCAAAAGTAAAAACAAGTAATGACATTGTAGTCATGAGACTCCTTATTAGCGTCGGATCCAAAAAAAAATTCGAGGTACTACTACTCCTCAGACACTTTTGGCGTGGACGGACATCATACGGACAGACAGGCAGACAGGCTTAGATCAATTCAAATTATGATTTTGAAGCGATCGGTATAATGAAAGGTGGTTCCATCTTAAGCCCTTCTGCGTGTTGCGTACTAAGTGAATACATCCTGTACCGCAAGTGGTGTGGGATATATATACGACATTTTTTTGCCCGCTATTCATAAACTGCTGCAATAATTTTTATAAATCCTGTTACTCCACAAGACACATTAATTTCAATTTCAACTGTTTTAGTGAAAGATGACGACTTTCGCGCGAGTTCCCTGTTTTTTTTCGGCTAAATAAGTGGAATTCATTTTTTTTTTTATCCAAAGTCAAAAATAAGATTGGCGTCGACGATATTTGCCTTCTAGAGAAGCATTGTATGCCTTATTGTGGAACATTTCTTAAAGGCTTTCACATTTGCCTAAGAGCGCCCAAGATTTTCTCTTATATAAAGCAGCTTGTGCCACTTCCAAATTTGCACATGAAAAATCGCTGACCAAATCTAATCCGGAAGTGAAGTTCTGTGAAAACATATATTATGCAAAAAATAATGAAAAAAAAAAAAATATATATATATATATATATACATTTGGTTTGAGAAAGCTCATAAAGACTTTTTGAAAAGTCTATACAACACCATAACTATTTTTAGATAAAACGTTAGTTTGTTCGCAACACCACGACATATTCGTTAAAAACTTAGCAAAGTGCGAATGTTTTCCAGGCCTTACATGTTGTTGTGGTATACAGCGTATACCTAACTCGGTTTTCTCTATAATTTTAAATTATTTATCTTTAGAATCAATGCAATATTAACGGCATCTTAAAGGTTATACCCTTTAAAACAATTCCTGGAAATTATCATTCACCCTAAATTGATGCTATGCCTAGCATCCTAGCTGACTTTCGATGTTTGAATGCTTTATCTATATGCAAGTAGAAAGCGAAGCCGTTAGTTAGAACAACAACACACATAATGCATTAATGAAATGATATCAACCGTTGAGTAAAAAATAATAATTGTTTTTTTATAGTTTACTATAATTGTCATGATTATCATTGATTCGTTTGTAAGTAAGTGTTCATATACTATGATGAAATGACTTTCGTTGGGAATTCATATACGAGCAGCAAGAGTTTAAATTGAATCTCCCTGAGGGGAAAAGTAAATGAAATAAAATAAAAAGTATAATGATAGAACAAATGTGCGACTGTTGAAAAACAAAAAAAAAAAAAAATAAGAAAAAAAAGATACATATATCTCAAGGACGTTGCAGTTTCACAAGTTTTGTTTCACGATGACGTAACGCTTTTACTGCACAGTGTTCTGCATAAAATCATTTCTTAAAAAATACAAATTTATTATAAAAGTTTTTTGCTTTTCGCGTATTATTTAAAAGTATAAAAATCAACTTAAAGATTAATTGCAGATAAAAAGCAAAGATTTTACGCATATTTCTGCGTAATTAAATAAACATTTCAAAGCGTACTATTTTGTTGTGCCTACTGTGCAATAAAATTAACTCCAATACTTGGCATCAACAAGTGTGCTGGAGAGTAATGGTTGTGGAACAATTCGAACAACTTGAGTCACGTTTGCTGTTTTTTTTTTTTTTTATTTTATTTTTTTTTTTTTTTTTGCAACGATGAAATCCATCGAATTGGTAGGCATGAGCACACGTTTCTCACTTGAATTTGAAACAGCACTTCTAACAATTGTTGCATGCATGTCTGGTATGCTGTCTGCCTATTATCAAAGCAACATGTTGTCGTAGAATATTTAAGCAAGACAGTATACGAACTGCGTCACAAGTGCATTCACTGACATACAAAGGACAAAATGAAAATAACAAGCAGCAAGAGCAATAAAAAGATATATCAAGGAAAAAAGCATAACAAGTCTCTATATATATATATAGTGTCTCATATTTCTCTTTTACTCCTTTTTTTTATTTTAATTAGGATTTGTTTTCTATGTTATTTATTCGGCTTTGTTGTTTGCCACATACTCTTAAAATACAGGAAAGGAATATTTAGCTTCCCGGCAACAAGTTTTCTATTTTTATCTACAGGTTGTATCTAACGTTGTAGTTATTCAAAGCGAACGCGTGTGATGTTTTAAACATCGATAAATATATTTGTAAGCGCAGATGGGTTTATTTATCTATAATAAAACCTGACGTTCACCATACACCGCACACCGATATGTTTGCGGTGCATCACTCATTTGGTGTTTTTTCTTTTATTTTTTTTTTATATATATTTTTTTTTTTTTTTTTTTTTTTTTGCATTTTCCAACAGCAATTGCCTTTTGAATGTTGTCAGCACGTTGTGAAATTAAGTAAGTAAACAAACATATAATGCTATTTTCAACCATCATCATCATGGAAAAACGTGCTTGATGATATTAAAGGATTAGTTGCTTAAAAAATATTTAAAAAAACAAGGGCATTGCATTTATGAAGCATTCCTCTTAAAAGGGTTAATTAATTTATAATATATACATACATGCCTTAAATATAACAATGATTGAGTGACTATTGGGAATTGCAACACAATTGACTCGACTCAATATTCATCTCGCAGATCGATACAAAAATTAGGCGATTATTCAAAAATTATTGGATTACTCAATATATAATCATCTACCGATTTAGCACTTGCTTGTTTACAGCATAAACAAGTAGGAAAGTTATATTTGGCGGGGTCCGTATCTCGCATACCCACTACTATGCTTTTCGCATTCTACTCTCCAAGTTCTTTTATTTGATATCCATATCGTAGGTATTATGAATAAAAATTTAATCGCGGTGTCTACCATAATTATTTTCGAACTAATCCATTTTTAGGCGAATAACATATCATCATTTGAGGAATGCACAAAGTAGTGTGAAACATTCGGTCTTGTTTGCCTTGTGATAAATAAGCATAAGCATAAAAGTTAAAAAAAGTGAAAAAAAAAATTTAATTACTCGTAAGTTTGTGTGGGCATGGCCGATTGGTTCCATTTTTTAATCTAAAGAGTAGACAGTTTCGTAAAGTAATTCTACAAAAATTCAACAAAAATTCTAACTTTAATAATTTCCGAGTAAAGAGTAAAAGTCCAAAAATTTTTGTTAAGAAAAACCGAGTTGCGTTCAGTTTACGCTTCACTGCGCGTTCTTCCTCCTACCAATTTTGCCCATTGTCAATACGAACCTGTGTGCACAAATATCCAATGTTTCTACCAAAATTGAAGTCAATAGCTTCATTAGTAGAGAGAATGTTTACAACAGTCATTGCACAGACCGACAGACGACCAACCGGTATGCTTTATAGGGCCTCTGAAGCTCTCTTTTGGATGCTGCATACATTATGAAAAAAAAAAACAAAATCCTCCAGTGGTGGGTACAAAAGCAATTCATTTAAAATGAATAAATGAGCTGTGAACCTAATCAAGAAGCGTTCCTACACAAGTTATCAAATCTCTGTTCAATTGGCGAATGGCCGGCCATTCTTCATACATAAAATGTATCAGTGTGCGAAGACTCAAGCAGCCAAAGTATCTCTCCGCCTATTTCTTGTAAATTGAGTCCATGCAAGGGCATGGTGACAATGACTGACAGACGAATAATGCTCTTAGCTAAACCGTTGCATTCAAATTATCTGAAGATATCAACTTTTCTCCTTAACGTTCATTAAATGTTATTGTATGGGAAGCATAACTATTAGACCTAACTTATTGTACTCACTTTTTCTAGTATATCGTAGAGTAACATGTGTTATAAGAAAAACACTTTCAGTGTCTGCTTAATCATGTTCAATGCAAAATATCTCATACTCCTTGGAAGCATTCGGTAGACTTATATTACTTTTATTTTTTATTTCAAACTCTTTTCTACAATAAAGTATAAGATCGTTTTTCTTCGCATTTTGCTATCACGTGATGATTTCGATGAATATTGCCGTGATGAGTCGATTTTAAATCGCCTACTTCAATATCGGAACTAATCGTTTATTGTATAAGAAATGAGAGAATTTGTGTTTTCCTCTTTTGAATATTTTTTTCATTGTTCTTTTTCAGGCATTCGTCGGGCCAACATGATGCAAAACCAAAGTAAATGAATACGATGCTAAGGATTTAATAAAATATGCACTCACTTTGATTAGATCATATACGGATAGAGAGAGAGAGAGAGAGAGAGAGAGAGCAATGTGCAGTGAAATGATAAATTATTACGATTTTTCCTTTAAAAGTATTCGATGCAATACGAATATATTTACATTACTTAAATCAAATTACAAATACAAGCGGAGATGTCGTATATTGAACATTAATAGTTCACGGGAGATGAAAAACATTTATAGCAGTAATAATATTGTGGAGCAAAGCAAACGAGTCTATGACATTAAATCAAAAGTTAGCAAATTTTTAAAAATATTTATACTGATTATGAATCAATTAACATCGAATAGATGGACGACGCAACTATTAATGCAAATTAAAAAAATCATTAACATAAATTGCTGTCAAAAAACAAGTTATCATAAACGTATGCAAAGTATACAGGACTCTGATGCAGATGTCGATAATATTGATGATGTTGATGATGATGATGATGATGATGATGATGATGATGATGATGATAATGATGATGATGATGATGATGATAATGAAATAATTAATCAAAATAATTATGACAAAGTGTCAGCATTCACATCAACAACATCGAAGTGCCAAAGACAAGCGTATCGTATATCGTTATCACAAAAATATAAAGAAATTGCAACAACAATAATATCGATCACATCATTCCTCTCTTATACTACGACAAATCACTATTGGATGCCGATGATATATCATTATTTTAAATATAAAACAACATCAATTGCCACTGATATATTATACAGCACATCTTCTATAACGACAACGCATAGCTGTCAAACACACGATCTATATGTTAATCTAGCGGGCACTGTTCGCACAGGCCACTGTATTAATAGTAACATTTACAAAAATAACACCTGGTCTACGCTCTTGATGTTATTTATCGCTTTATCAATAGGAATACACGGTACAGCAGGTGAGAAAACCAGCACTGAATGTATAGAATGTACAACGTTTACGCCATCAAATCATTTGCATACTCAAGCAGACGAAATACATAGTTTTAAGATGTTAGAGTGAAGCAGTTAAGCTTAATTTCAATTAACTTGACACATAACAAAATGGTAATTATTAATGCCATAATATAGTAATCAAAAAAAAAAAAAAAAAAAAAAAAAAAAAAATCTACTTGCATCTCAATTTTCGTAAGGTATTTAAACAAAGTTGAGAACACAAAGTCAAGCCCACAAGATGTAAGTTAGCCCAGCCAAGCGTCCAACTAACGTCAACGACAATAATAACTTAGTATTCACAATAATACATAATTCAGTTAGTTAGCCATATTACTACTACTCGACAGACACTTGAATCGAATAAGTTAAGTTGCATAAAATCATAGAAATCGTTGTTAACTTAACTGCCACTTACAAAAGCAGACAAATAGACTATCAAACGGACGGACAAGAGTTTATAGTTTTCGTATATCAAGCTGATTCGATATGTGGTTGGGTACTTTGGAGGGCTTCCTTGCCCACTCTTACAAAGGGAAGCGTAAAACTAATTTACAACGCGTCCACTGTACACTTACTCAGAGTCATTCAATATTTATAAATTCCAATCTAAACGTATATATATATATATATACAAATATATGCATATATATATATATGCATATATATATATATATATACAAATATATGCAAATAAGTATCGTATATGTAAATTCTTAAGTATATTCGTTGTGCAGCTGTGCAGCGCTTTGCAAGTGTAAATAAATGTGTTGTGCAAACTACTGCAATTATTATGTAAGCCGATGTTTTGGATTGAATTTTTTTTTTTACTTTTACTTGAACGAATATTTTCCAGTTCACCCCATTTATTTTCTTATGTAAGTCACTAATTTTCCTCATATTATCGTTGAGCCTTTATACATTCTGCACATTTGTATTCAATAAGCAATAACGCTAATCGGTTGACATCACTCAGGTATTTTTGTTTTTCTTTCTTTTTTTTTCTTTCTTTCCTTTGATGCAATCAAAAATGTGTGTAGGTAGGTATTCAATAAGGAAAAAAGCGAAATCATTTTTTGAAAATAAGAAAAAGTGACGACACCGAAGTCATTTCCCTGAGACATCTTTAATTAAAAGCGTTATGCGGCAAGTAGTGAAATTTTTTCTAAATTTCAATCTAAACAAAAAAAAAAAAATCATTACATTTACATGTCAATCAATAGCTAGGGAAAAATATTAATTTTTGTGTGCATGTATCGGCGGTATTTAAACGAGAGTTTGTTCAATAGAATAAATTGCTAATCGAAAATTTCCTTCGCGCGTCGGTTTAAAGTGCTACTTTAAATACATTTGCAAAAGCTTCGAACGAGAATTGTACGACAATTTTTGTAATTACGCTGCGTGACGTTTTTAAAAATTATTTTCCGGGAAAAACGCTTTTGAAGTCATCCTTTTGACCACTTAAAGGTCCTTTTAAGGCAATGATAAAAAGAATTTACGTGCTGGGAAAGCTAGAGTAATATTACAGCTTAATCAATGCTTTATCCATTATTTCAACATATCATTTAAACACACTTTGTGGAATACGCGATTTTTTAGCCGATTATATTCATCACCTTTTTCCGCTTTATAGGGTCATAACTCGAATAAGTTAGATCTGTAATGGGTACAAAAAACCACCTAAAAAGTGCCGCTAATTGAACATAAACAAGTAAGAAAATTAGATTCGGTCGTGACCGAATCTTTTATATCTGCCATTGTTTGCCATCCCATCCCAAAAAAAAAAGAAAGAAAAACAAAAAGAGGAAGCTATGTTTTCATGCTCTGGGCGCTCATGGACGATGGCGCAACTGATTTTTTCTATTTTCAAAATAAAAGTTTTTTTCGCATAGGCGCGTGCATGTTGTAGGCGTGTCCTTGGAAGAGTTTAAGTCACTTCTAAAATCTTTTACAACTTTGTAGGCGATTTCTTCACTGGAAAGGAAGGAAAAATGTTTACCACAAATACTACAAAGCTCCGCAGACAGATAGACGAACAGACGAAGAAGGTGTCCGCCTCTTTAGTTGCATTCCAAATTTGAACTTATATATTTTATGGGGTTTTTGAAGTTTGTTTCTGCGCCTTATAAAAGTATTGAAAAAATGTAGATACTATTGGGTAGATGCGGTCAATTTTTATACGTATGCTGTCTCTCATAGAATATGTCTTCAAATTTTTATACATTTATCTGCTATGATTACATGAGTGATGAGAAAAAAAACAAAGACGTTCTCATTTTATGTGGTAATGTGGGCGTAACATTCAATCGCCTTGGCCCATTGTAAATATTAACCTGCTTTCAAGAACTTCCCATGTTTCTGACAAATTTGGTACTTGATTTTTCGGACAGGAGAATGTTTAGAACAGGCATTGTACAGACGGACAGATGGATATACTTAAATCGATTCGGAATGTGATGCTGATCTGGAATATATATATATATATATATATTTTGTGGCACCTCGGAAGCCTCCTTCACACTCTTCATCTTTCGGTGATGGGTATAAAAAATAGAAAAAATCAACGGCGTCCATCCAATATTGTAGAGCATGAACTCTTTTCGTTTTTTTAAGATCACGGCAATGGTGTGAAATGATGATTTGATCACGTACGAATATAATTTGCTTCTTGTTATTATCATTATGATTTTTTACATTCCTCACCCAACCTCAGGTGTACTACATCAGGGGGTTTTGTGATTACTACACCTAGTGCTTTTGTGATTTATTTACTCTATGGTTGTAGCAAATATATTTATTGGTGTTGTAGAGTCCGCATGTCAAGTTCGCTATAGAGAGCAATATCGCTTTTTGTGCCTTCCCCAATACTTTATGTATTTCAAAGTAATATATTTTAGGACTTTTATAACAATTTTTGGCGCTGCTTCCGTACATAACACAAACATAGGAAGTGTTGTAGCTTCTTCTACATTATACATATTCTCCATCTCGTGCACCAGCCCCAGTTACTTGGCAATCTTATTGGAATACGCTGTTTTTACGTTTTGTGTAAGCGGAATTGTAACGTCTGATAATATCAATAGTCGTCTTCTATCAATCTTTTGCAACTACGTCCGGTTCATTGGCGTTAATTGATTAGTTATGAGGTGCCAGTCCCAGCACGTGGAAGATTTCTACTTTTCTATTACCTACGCTGCTTGGTACATATAATATGGAACTTGAAGTATTCGTGTATTAGATTTTTCCTCCAATTTTTGATGCATTACTTGGCAGAACTGATTACGCCTCTTGAGCAATTCCGTGCATCCGGCAATAATAGGATGAATTGTTTTTATTTCATAAATCTGTTTCCATTTCTTGTCTCGTAACATCATGCGGATATTATTTTATCCTGTAAAGCAATAATAAATCCTTCTACAGCAAAAAACAGCTCCTTTCTGGTTAACCATTAATATGTTCTCCGTACGTCCCCAACTTTTATAACATCTGTTTGTGGGTTAATTATTAGCTTCGTGTCTCATGACTGTCGCTCCCCAAATTTAGTGGCGTGTAATTATTATCCGTTGTCACAAATGCCATAAGGTATCATCTGTGCGTTATGTGAACTGTGCGAAAAGTGAACAAAGCAGACCTCAAATGCAGACATCTTATCTGCCTAAACATGTTAACTCTAAAATAAATATCATGTATAGCAATTAGGAATCCTATTGTTTTCAGAGATAAGTAACCGTTGCGAAGCTTCATTGTCAATACGGTTTTGATTCAACAGGTAAGGGTGTTTGTCACGGTCTCCTGTGCGTCTAGTCACGAATTCAGGGCTAACGGGACTAAGCTAACCACCTAATCCTACTAAGCTGCCCTAATATAGTTGATGAATGACGGCGGTGTGCTTTACGATTTTACGGTCAGCTGTATCGTTACGTTATGTGTGTTATTTATTCCTAAGATATAGATTGTTGACAAAGAAAACCGGTTTAGGGATTCACATATATGTGCACGTTCGCGTGGCTAATATAAGAATTTAAAATCTCTCTGCTTGGTAACAAGAAATTGTGGTTTTCTGCCGAGTAAAAAGTGTGAACGAAGCTATGCTTATGACAAGAACGTATGTATGTATGTGTGCCTGACAAAAGAAAATAATATACCTCTGCTTAGTAACAAGAGATTATAGTTCTATGCCTAGTAACAAGAATGACGAAGTTATGCCTACAGCGAGAAGGAAGATATTAACAGAGACAAATAAATAATAAGATGGTCCAACACTTTGCTCAAAATTTAAACTAGGAGATTATTACGGACATTTTGTGTTTCTGTTATCACTAACAGTAGTAACGCTGTTAGCTAGCAGCAATTTGACTGCTAATTAGCAGCAATTTGTTCTTTGTGTGGGTAAAGATTCAGTTAATAGTTTCGTGATGTGATATCGCATTCCTTTAAACACATACACAATGCAGCGTTTTAAATGAATATGCGCTATGGTCATAAAAACAAATATACCAGATCACTACGCGAAAGTCCTTAGCACTAATATGAAGTGGACACAATATCAAATGATTGAGGAGAACCATAGCATTGCCAAATTAAACAATAAGGAAGTAAGTCGATTAATAAGCATGACTAACTGAACAGTTTATGCGAAGTCACAGAAGTGAACATAGAGTATGAGGCAAAGTGTAAGAAAAAACAAAGAGGTAAAAAAAAAGACGAATGCGTGGATGAGCCAAGAAATAGTCAATGCTTGTATACAAGACATATTGTCCGCATAATAAGCAAAGGGAAACCCAATATAAAAAGTTTAGAAACAACGTCAACAAACAACTAGATGTAGCAAAGAGCAGGTACTATAGAAACAAAGTGTACGAGAACTGACATAACGCCAGCGGAACGTGGAGAATCATGAGCGAGATTATCGAAAAGCTGAGAAGCACAATTGATGAACCAATCACGGGAAACTTCAAAACTGAAAATAAGAAAATTTGCCAATGAGTGCTCACAAAGCTTTAAGAGACCAAAGTTCTTAAAAGCACCTATTATTTGGTCAATATACGAAAACTGAATTCTAACTTTATATAAGTATATGAATACCGTCACTACCTGAAATGGTTTTAGAAGAAATAGTAAACACATAAGTAAGTGTGTTGGTTACTATACAAGTAAAGATGAACTAATAGGTGAAAATCAATATGGAAAACAAAAAGGAAAAACATCAACAGCTGGCGCATCAAATAAATGATAAATTCAGTAAGGAAATGGACTGTCTCGCGCTCTTCAGAGACTTCACTAAAACTTTTGATACTATTCCACACAAAAAATTGTTAGATACATCGAAAAAAGCAGGAATCAAAGGAGACTTCCCTACAATGGTTTAAAAACTAACTAATAATCACAACATATAACGTTCGAATAGAAAGAAGAAGATTAAAAGAAGAATGAAATAAGGTTAAATTCTACTCTATTTATAATCTATGCAAATGATATGATAGCGACGCTAAACAATTGTCAAACATTTGTGTGTGTCGATAATATAGCAATAATTGTCGCCCAGAAAAACTTGAAAGAGTTGGAAAGTCCAAAAGAATCTAGACAGTTTCAGGGAGGTGACTAGTAATAAATGCATTCAATAAAAAAAAAAAGCCCGTTATGCTAAACTCTACAGGGATATCGCTTTCATCATTAGTCGAGTTATTTGATCCCATGCTGCTGCGGGAAAGCTTACTGAGGAGGTACACTTACCTTTAGATATGTTCCTGCTTTTATATATGCCGATGCCAAACTGCATTTTTACATCCTTCATAAAAGTTTATGCTACGACTTCTTCAATGCATTATAGAGATATGATTTTGTCATCCATGTAGAAAGAGTGCGACATTTTATTGGAATCGGTTTTTATCAATTCGCATAGACTATGTTGGAGGAGTAGTGAGAGAAGATTTAATACTCTACAGAATCTGGAATGACTTAGGGAGCTGGCTTAGTATATGCCACAAAGTATTTTTATTGTTGTTGCCAGCTCGTATGTAATGAGTGATTTCCCAAAATTTCCTTTAATGCAATTTATTATTTTTGGGTCGATTTTATATATTCTTAGTGGGAGTGTGGGAATGCTACCAGTTATTAAGTGGTCCTTGTAACTTTTCGTGCATTGCCGACAAGCTTTTTGTTCCTGTCCGAGTATGTTGTTGCGTGAATATTTTGTACCGTATGCTTAAGTATATTATTGGTCTGAATTGCGAGGACAATATCGAAGTTGTTTCCAGTTGTGAAGTTTGCATATAGCTTTTCCGAAGATTTCTTAGGTGATCTCGCCGGTGAACATTGCAGCTTTTGTTGCGTTGTTTCCCGTATAGCATCAATCCACATTGGATTACGAATGTGAGTTACTGCTGCACACCATGTTGCTTTCCAAAACTCTTTCTACTTCGTATATATTGATATTCTTGCCTTGGTCTATCGTATTAACTGGGCGTTTTGCCATTGTGCTGTAGAAGCGTTCTTCGCCTATTTGAAAGCTTCTTTTTTGTATTGATCTATGGTAGCTTTTCATTTTGCTTTGCAATCTTTGCGTATATTTTCTTAGTATTCGTCGTATGGTTCTATTGTGTGGTGACTCAAATTGTATGCGAAGCCTATGTTAATGTCGAATTTCTTTCTAACTTGTTTAATTCTTTTATGGCTTTATAAGAACGCGTTAATTCATATATCTATATATTTCATATATTTTTTTACTACCTCTGCTATTTTTGACACCTGTTGCATAACGAAGGATGAAAATTTATTTGTGTTATCGTATTTAACTTTATACTTATTTCGCATGTTATTAAGACACAATTTCACAGTATTTATGCAAAAACCAATGTAAAATTATTCATGGATGGAGTGTGACAGTGTGTAATGCATACATATATATATACTTTTAGCGGGAGCTTGTTGGCAGACAGTGCTTGACAACGGTAAATGCAATGAGATCTTTTCGTTAAATATCAACAAAAGTGAATGCTGCAGCGCCAATCAAGAATTCTCATTTACTGACGGTGAGATTAACAGTGTTGAATATTTTTTTGCAACAGCGATTGGAGGCGGCATGGAATGCGCACCGTGCTTAGGTATTTAAGCCTCTTGATTGATAAACAGTTCTATACGCTGAACTTTTTAATATTCAATTTTTTATATTCTTTTACTTCTATGCAGAGAGTTGTAGAAATTTTAAATGTGGGCCGAATAAGAAATGCGTGAAACGTAAGGGTCGACCAAAGTGTATATGTGCACCGGAGTGCGGAGCCAATAAACGAAAACGAAAGCAACGAGAGCACACAAAAAATGCGCAACGTCAGCATCATCGTGAACAGTCACAGTCACAGTCACAGTCACACGTAAGACAGCAAGGAAAACATTATAAAAAGTACGCGACCGTCGATGAGTCCAAGGACGCTAGCCGGAGTGGAGGCGGTGGTGGTGGTGGTGGTGGTGCTGCTGCTGCTGCTGCACCGTGGAAGATGATGCAAATGCAGTTGGGAAAAACCCAACGCGATACACGTAGTTTAAGTAGCGAAAATACAAATAGTAATTTAAGAGTAGATGATTCAGATGTTGGTACGACAGTTGTCGTTAGCAACGAAAACCAAAGAAAATCGCAGCATATAAATCAACCGTCTAGCGAATCGCAAAAAATACATGCTCACACCCACCTATTGACCACAACAACAATTAAGCAGCCGATAAATGCAAGGTCGAAGAACTTGGAATTTCCGTTAAATGCAAAAAAGAGCCGATTAGTAATTGCCAATGTCCAGCTGGAGGCGGAAAAGCCTACCACGCGACGCTTACAAATTCTAAGCAACGTTAGATTAGTTCAGCAACCGCTAAATAGACGACGTAACAGCAACAAAACGAAATATGAGGGCATTGATCCCGATTATGCAGATGATGATGATTATCAAGGCGAATATTTGAATCAGCAACCAAATACCAACAACAGCAGCAGCAGCAGCAGCAGCAACAGCTATAAGGAGAAAAACAACAAAAGGCGAAACGACAAAAGCAAACATGGTAACGATGGTAACGATTATGCAAGAAAATCGTCGTCAAACCAGTCTGTGTCTAGACATAAGCTAAAAGCTAACATTCATAAAAACAGTAATAATAGAATTCATGTTAACAACAATGGCCGAACTGGACAATTTCATCTGATTGGACGGCACATTGAGGATGATCAACATCGCTTTATAGCTAGAAAACATAAACAACACCATAAGCAACACTCTAATCTCACGAAGCAACAAAATAAGCACACCTCCCGTAATGAAGACAACGAAAGTAAAACAAATTTTCAAACTGCTCTTAATCCTTCAAACACTTGCAGAACGTTAAAAGCAACAATATTATCATCAACAGACATATCAACGTCCTCGTCATCGTCATCGTCATCGTCATCGTCATCAAGGAAAACGACAACATTACCTGCTTTGTCATCTGCATTAGCATCAGCAACGCCCGCGAACATCACTGCATCAACTAATGTTGCTATTGGCGATAATATCTTCATCAATCACGGAAGTGAAATTGGTACGTCATCAATATTATTGCCGTCGTCAATAGCTACAACCAGCACATCTAGACTATCTGCTTCGCAATCTACTTCGATAAATTTGTCTACAGAAGCTACTTACAAAACTAAAGGTATCTCTATTTATAACAATGACGATGGCAAAATTATTGACGACACGGTACCGTTTGATGCAAACAGTCATTCTCGTCAACAACAACTCAATGATCATCAGCTTAGCCAACACGATATATCCAAACAACGACACCGTCTTACAGTAAGTAAAATATTTCAAATAACAAACATCTGCACCTTATAGCGACTGCATGTATCTTTTATGCCTGGGTTTTCCTACTTGTTTTTTTCTTTTTTTTTTTTTTTTGTCTCAATTACCGTACGCATATAGTTGCGACAAGCTTAAATTCTGTTGTTAAAAGAAGAAGAATTTAACTTTTTCTTTATGCTACCAGCTGAGTTACAAAATTGATTTCCTCTCCTTTTCATGTAAACTTTTCCGCTTGCAAAGACATCGCCAAATTTTTGTACAATTATTTCTTAAACTAAAGTCATATTGCCTCCTAAACGCTTTACGACGATAAGGTGAAGGTAGATATAGATATAAAAACGTTGAACTTTTAAAGTGATCGAAAATTAAGTAACGAGTCTTCGTGTGAACAAAAAACAAAAAAAAGTAAGAAAGTTATATTCGGTGGGAGCCGAACATTGCGTACCCACTACTATCTTTTTCGCATTCTACTCTTAACGTTCTTTTATGGGTATATGGGTATCAACATATCGCTCGTATTATTAAGAAAAATTTTATTGCGGTGTCTATCATGTTCATTATAGAATTAACCCATTTTTAAGCAGATAACTCTGTGGACACTCTTCATTTAAGGAGTGTACAAAATACTTTGAAACATTCAATCCTGATTGCCTTACGATAAATGAGCATGAAACCTCAAAAAAGTGGAAAAAACATAATTCAATTACTTGTAACTTTGTGTGGGCGTGGGGGATACTTTCCATTTTTACACGTAAAGAGTAGAGTGTTTCGTAAAGTAAATGTGGAAAATTTCGGGGTTCTAACTTCAATAATCTCCGAGTAACGAGCAAAAACCCACAAATTTTTATTAAAAAAAATAGAGTTGCGTTCAGTTTTCGCTCCACTGCATGCTTCCGCTCCGACCGATTTGAACCATTTTCAATACCAACCTGCGCGCGGAGGAACTTGCAACGTGTCTGCCAAATTTGAAATCGATATTTGCATTTTTGGGGCCAAGAGAGTGCCAACAACACACACCACACAGTTAGATTGACGGACGTACATGGCTAAATCAACTCAGAATTGTACGCTGACTAACAACATATATAATTTGTAGGGTGTCTGACACTTTATTTTGGGTGTTACATATATTTTCGAAAGAAACAAAGTGCTCAGTATACCCCCATCTTACCATATTTAAATTGTTCTGTTTCTCGTTACGGCTTTATTTAATACGTAGTCTTAATTAAAGTTTCCTTCATCCGTTATATACTTTTATTCGGATGTAGAAAATTATGACTGGTCTAATCTATAATTGATTTACATCTGTAGTTCAGCCTAAAAATTTACAAAGACAATCGAGGTATAATAACCCTGGGTTGCTATATGCATAATAGCAAGTGTCGATCTAACATCTGGATTAAAAATAAACATTTACTAGATTTTATTAAAACACCAGTCAATCGGTCATCAATGCACAAGATATATAGTCCGATGTCAAACTAACCAAAAATTTTATCTAAAACGAATCTAACTAACTTTTTACTTGTTTCTTCTAATTATCTATGTTATGTTGGAATGGATCAGACAACTGAGCATGTGCGACCTTCACATCCTGTATGCGGAACAGATGGACGCACCTACAATACCGAATGTCAGCTGAAGAAACGTGCATGCCGTACAAATAATGAGAATTTAAAAATAGCGTATCGTGGTCACTGTAAAAGTAAGTTCACAAAAATAACAAATCCAAATGCTCCAACTTATAGGTTTCCATTGGAATACTTTTTCCAATTTTTCTACTCGTATCAGCGTATTTTTTATATGATTTCTAAAATAAATTGCAAATAAAAGAGTTAGTTGATCCTTTATGATAGCGATGAATTGATGGCAAGCTCTTTCATATTAATACTGGGGAAGTGCTCGCAACTTTGTTGCTTATCTTTTACACCAATAACTTTGAAATATGATTATAAAAAGTTTTCGCTGTCAGCAATGCAAACATTGCTTAGTTTTAATGGACTGTAAAAGCTTAAATCATTAATTACAGACTAGTGGACAGTGTGCTGGGATAAATGGAATGCACGCTGTCATATAAAACCGTATTTGGCGTATTACGGTGACATTAAAATGTAATAGTTAAAAAGTTTAAAATATTTAGATAATTTAAGAGTAAAGACACCTTCTCCCCTTTGAAATTGACAAAAGCATTTTTGTGCAACTGAAAGATATTTTGCAAATATAATCCATAAGTTTCCTATGAAGTAATGGAATGGAAAGATTGCAAACAGACCATTTGCCGAGATGAGCCTTCATATTGGTGCAATGGAAAAAGTTCGTGTCGTTTTTCTTAGTAGATGGCTTCAAAATCGCTAGACTTATCAGGCCATACTGTGGAACGTAAGATAGTTGACAGTTCATAGATAATTAAACTACAAATGTTAGCTGAATCAATCGAAAGTAATTGCAGCCGAACTTTGGAAAAAATATATATATTGAATAATAACACTTCGCAATATCACTGCGGAACTAAACATCGATCAAAAACCTGTTTTAATCATTTGTGTAAACTTTCATGCATGAAAAAGCCCAGATGTCACATGAAAGAGCAGCGAAAAATTTAATAAGCCCAGTTTCCCTTTGCACCGCTATTGAAAACCAAGCAAGATCGACATTGATAACTGTGGCAAAAACGCAACTGATGCCTCAAAAGTTCAATTGACATTGACTGCAGGCAATGCTGTTGATAGCTAATATGATTAAATCCGGCACTTGACGTAAAGCGTCCAAGCGTAGGCTTGCATCATGGCGACGTTAAATCGCAAAAATGTTGAAAGGGAGAGTTTGACTGGAAAATTTTGATACCCTGTGCTTAGTTTCAAGGACAAAGACGCCCAGGCGTCACATGAAATAGCAGCGAAAGATTTAATGAGCCCAGCTTCTCTTTTCACCGCTATTGAAGCCAAGCCAGATCGGGGCTGATAACTGTTGCAAAAGCCCGACTGATGCCTCAAAAGTTGAGTTGACATTGACTGCAGACAATGTCGATAGGTAATGTAATTAAAGCCGGCATTTGACGTAAAGTTTCCGGAGTTGAACAACGAAAAAGGTGTAGGCTTCCATCGTAGCGACGTTAAATCGCAAAAATCTTTAAAGGGGAAGTTGGGGTGGAAAATTTTGATACCCCTTGCTTATCCCGCCGATTATCATTTGCCTCAATTTCTGCAGAATTCTCTTAGCGACATAAAGGCCTACAAATCGGTCGATATTGTCTTTCCTTTCGCTTAAAAACCATATTGCTTTTAGTAGAAAAATGGGAAAAGTTTATCGATCGAAGTGACATATATTTGCTTTAGCACAATTTATTTACAAAAGGACAACAAAGTGTTACAAAAAACTTTTGAATATATGAAACTTTATTCATTAATGTAATGTATATTCTGTGGCTAAAAAAGTACAAAATTTCGATTGGCAAGGAAATGCAAAAAATTATATCATCAAAGAAGAACAACCACAATCTGCGCAACATTATTTTTAGAAAAGACGAAAACATAAGAAACGCAGAACGCGTTTGCGATAAAAAGCAGGCATAGCTAATTAAGAGAAATAAATTCAAAGTGGAGAAGTTAACGGCGCTAAGTCTATTGTGTCTGTTACAACTTCAGACTCCTTGCTACCAGGTGCCAAATGCCAAGTACAATGAAACCTTACAATAATGGGTCAGGTTGGAAAGTCTCCGCAATTTTGAGATTCTTTCTGTAGCCTGCTCTTTTAAATGATTCCAAACTGTGATGTGGCTGATGTTTAATGCCCTCCGCTATTTCCTGATGGTTACAACATTTGATCGACTCTTTCAAAGACTGTGCATTGCATCTTTAATATCGAAATTTCCGAAACGCAATCGCTCGCAAACAATTGCTGGATCCTTCGTTCACTCATCACATTCTCACCTCACAAATTTTTTTTTGGCAGTGTTTTCACCTCTTTTATAGTGAAAAAGCATCACATCGTGTAATTCTTCAGATATCTTACAGATTTTCAAATCAATATAACTTTTTACATGAGAGCAGAGAATTAGAAAACTCTCTGCACAAAAAATGTAACCCAATATGTCACTTTTTAAGCATATGTTCGTTCGAGGCAACTAAGTGACATACTAACCATGAAGTTGACCGATCCCCGTTCAACATTGGATGCGGTAAACGTACCCTTTAGTTACGATTGACATATATCCACAATCATAGTTAATGCTGGATGGGTAAAGATGGTGCACTTATTTCTCGAACGTATTTCTAGCTGATATGATGCGCGTGAGTACACGATATTCCTCTCTCCCTACTCCTTCTTTCCTGGCCAATTTCGTCATTATAGTTCTCTAGGAAGAATCCCCCCAAGTGGCTCCTATGAGGGAAAAAAAAAACGAAATTATCTGATGAAAAAGGTGGCTTCAAGGACGGAATTTAGTTTGCGTAAATTTTTCTCAAAAACTGTTGTATAGAAATCTGACCATTTCTAAGACCATGAACAACTTAAATCAATTGCTTAATGTTTTCCAGGCAGTAAAAAAAAAATTCATAGACACATTCTAGATGCTATTTAGAGAACAATTAACCGTATACCAAGTAGAACATCTAAGGACTTGTGCATTTTGTAGATTCTTTATATGTCAGTCCAAGTTTTTGCAAAAAAATTAATGGACATCTCTTTCTTTCTTTCTTTCTCTCTCTCTCTCTCTCTCTCTCTCTCCCTATAAATCATATGGAATCAAATCAATTATAATGGATCTTTATAAAAAATTCAATAATTTAGATTTGAACAACTCGCGTGTACCTCTCATCAACTAAAAATTATTACATTATTTATTAAAAGCATGATAAATAAAATAAAAATATGTTACGGAAGCTTCAATTAAATTTCTTCTAATAAAAATATCAATAATTTATCGAGATTTAAATTGAAATCTAAAAAATTTTTTTTTATTTAAATTATATAAATAGATTTTTATGAGAAAAATTGCAGCTGACGATATATAAATGCATATGGATAATATTTACAAAATATACACATATATATATATATATATATATATATTTATACATACATATGTACAGGCCGAGAGTATGCACTTCTACAAACAAGTTATAAATTACTGCACACGATCAAAGTATATATTGGATTGGATGGAATGTGTTCTTAACTCTTAGACGCAGGCGGCCAATTGACTTATGTGCGCATTCTTTGGCAAACGAATGTTGCCAATTTTAAGATGGGCAGTAACCATGAAAATTATTTAATGATACAGGAAGCAAATGCATTTCGTAGTTTTCCATGCGATCGTAATGCAATCAAAATCTATTCAAAACTATTAATTTTGAATTACGGAAAATCATCGAACATTGCAACGATTGTTTTTAATGGAAACTTGTTGGAATCAAGGATAGTTAGCAGCAAGAATACTACTCTCTACTCTAACAATCGCAAATATACATATATATATATATATATATATATACATCAGTTAACATAAGATTGCTCACTAATGCACAAATGACGCGTGCTGTAAATGTTGTTATTGCACTCGTTGTCAGAGTTGCTAATGGTTAACACAAATGCAATATCCAGCGAAAGAAAACTAGCCAAAGTATTACAATCGAATGATTCTAATAAAATTGAAATTGCGGAGCTAAGGCATTTTAGAAATCCTTCAACAACATTCCTCGAAATTAATAATTACAACAACTTCTAACTAGTTCATATATATACTATATATATAAATATATATGTATTTATGTACATAAACTTGTCAATGCAATTAAGAAATAAGCTTTGGCAGCTCTTGTCATAGCGTTAGGATTCATAAACGTTTTCCAGGTTTTTGTCGCATGACTGTATGCCGATCTGAGATAGAGTGGGCCAGCACGCCAGCACTCCGTTGCCATGTAATATGATAACACTTGTGTGATAAAAATTACTTGCAATCTTGTTTGTGTCATAGCTGGCGCCGAGGCGTTTCACGTCGATGCAATTTCCAATGATAAATTTGACAGTTTATTGCTGGTAATTTTTTTCAATATGATCACTGAACATATTGAAAAAAATACTTTTATAAACTTACATGTTCGCACAAATACATATACATATATATATATATATATGTATATATATGTAACAGCAGAGAATATCTTATAAATGGAATTTTTAAATATATGTAAAAGCAAACTACTTTACCTCTGCATGCAGATGATTGCAGGACAAGGGTACGCAAGCAGTAGTTAGTGCATTAATTTAATATAAATTTTCCGTTAAATTTTGACATTTTCTTACGATTATTTAATTTACTTATATAATTACGCAAAGTCTCTCACCTAATCTCCCTCTGGGATTTTTCGAGGCTTAGAAATATAATGCTTCTGAAATTTTTGAAGACCTTTTACTACCTGATTTAAGTTCTTATCACTGAAGGACGGACGCATATTCATTTTGTCAAAGTCATAATTTTCTTTCCAATAAGTAGATCTACATATATATATATATATATAAAAAAGTCTTGATCAGTCTACCCTTCCACCCATCCGTCTGTTACAATGTTAGCGATAAGCATTTTCCCGGTAGCAAAGACATCTGCTTCGAATCAGCAAAAACTTGTAGGCAGGTTGGCATTAAAACTGGCCCAGATAGATTCAAGGGCAAGATTACAATGCGATATACAACGAGAAGGCCTCTGCTTCTGGGCTTTTTGCACTTTGCTCACAAGCTACAATAAATATTACGCGAAAAAATTCCCAGTGTATCCAATGTGTGATCCTACTGTGCTTGCATAAAAAATGGGAAAAAATCGTCCGCTTCAATTTTATAATCAAAATTTTATTTTTGTGGGTAATTTGCTCGGTATTGTAGGAAAAGGCCTTTAAAAGGACTTTTACTCCATTATTTTTTTCTATCTATTCTAGTCTTCCACACACAATCGGTAGATGGTAAGGTGAACTTCAGAAGTACACAATTTTGCAGAAAAAGTACACGATTAATCGTAAATGTGTCTTGGAATGAATTGCAATTCATTCATCAAGACGAGCATCTACGTCATTTCTCCAGAGAAACCTTATTACAAAAAAAAAAAAACAAGTCGAAATTTTCGTTTTTCGGGGCTACTTCCATTTTCTAATGGAAACAAGACCTGACCAACTTTTAATTTTGTCCTCTTAATCGGTTGTGACGTATATGTGCAAAGTTCCGAATTCCGTTATTAGTTTTTGTGATCGACCCGGTGTTGAAGGCCATCTTCTTCCATTGTCAGGTTAAGTAAAATCTGATTGTTTTTACAACAGATCGTACCACGATGGGAGCCCATGGGAGCAAGGAAAACGTTAATGTTTATGTTTTTATAATAGTTTGAATTCATTTGTTTATCCAACAAGAAAAAATTAAGTAAATCGATAGATAAATAGACAACTAACTATCTATCCCAACCAATATCAACTAATCGTATTTTTGAATATATTATATTTCCAATTTGATAACAACTCTATAAAACAATAAAACAGTACTTCCTGCAGTTCACGTGCAATGGCAAGTGCTATAATATAATAATTCCCACATGATTGAATGCAAATTAGAATATGTCTCGACAAGTATGATTCGTATAAAGATTGAATTTTAATGTCTGTAATATGTACTGTAGCACTGTGAACCAGATGATATAATGACTTTGGTAAGCGTTACTTTCGACACCAAGACTAACTCTAACTTAATAAATACTCGTTTTTTTTGTTTTTTAGTGTTAATTGTTAATTTAAAGCAAGTAATTAAAGTAGTAAGTATCTAAATTAATTTAAAGTAAGATTCTCAACAACAAATTTTTGGAAATGTTGAATGAAACAATCAAAAAATTTAACTTCAAAGTGCAAACGTGAATCACGGACACGCCGTGGCCCGATTAAGGTTAATACGGAATTCAAATATTGGCGAGAAAGAAAATCATTTCGTGGACACAGTAGAATATAAGCTGCAATCGACGACAACGTGAATGGTTAGAGATTAGCATCATCGGTTAGGTGGCGAAATAATCTTAAAATGGAAATATTCTTCTGATTATCATTACTGCGGTAATGCGAACTTGAATAAAGTCGAATTTGTTAATTATTAGATGCTTGCAAAAATTTTGATCAGCGACTTTTACCGATAAGGAAATGGGTGATGCCAGTGTACATAACGATTGAATTCGATGGTTTTGACGCTAGGCATAAAGCGCTCAAAATTCTTCTCCTTCTAAATTTATTACATTTGTTGTTTATTTGAGCATATCTGCCGCCAAAGTTAACCAAATACGTTCAGAGGTTGATGCTTTTTGGTTTCAACGGTTTAAAAGTGGCGACAAAAATAGCCTGAAAATGCCATTGTTTGTCCTCTTTTTACAAGATTTGTCAAGGAAACATTGTTGCAACCTGAATGGGAAGCTCTGCCGCAAGCGACGTACTCATCAGACTTGGCGCCTCCTGATTACCACTTGTACAGAACCGTGCAGCATGGCTTGCCTGTCACGCTGGTCCACAAAGTTGAAGAAGTGCGAAAATGGGTCGGTAGGTGAATCGCTGCCAAACCCATATAAGTTCTTTCGACACGATATCCGCCATCGTGCCAAAAATATTGTCAACTGTTGCAGAAAATAATGAAAACTATTTTAATGAATATTCATTGCACAAATTCTCTACAATAAATGCCTCTTTCAAGTGATCAAAATTTCCGCAAACACCTCATAATTATTTCTGCACTTAATTTTCTAGACAATATGTGACAGCTGACAAGTTACCACTGTGTGTGACTTGACGAAGTGAATATAGAGTTGGCTTGAGGTTCGACCAAGCTTTACCCAAGCTCGGTACGTTTCAGAGATTCAAAGATAGTCGTTCTTAAATATTCCTCCGAACTTTCTCTGATTTTTTCGCTAAGTATGACGTCGATGACTATTGATCTACCACTAATTAATTAAATTTAAAGTTTTATTGAAAATTAGCGCTTATTGTGGTATTTTTTTTTGCACAAATGTATTCTATTAAGAGTTAAAGGGGTAAAGACTATTTCGCAATATGAGTAAACCATTGAAATTTATTTAAGTGTATTACGGTTTCAAGAGTGCCATAAGGAGTATTAAATTTAATAACCTGAGTCTAAGTAGTTCAAGGCGGACTAATTACTATATTAATGTGCTATGTAAAATTTGATTTGTCAGGAATTTATGTAATCAGGAAAACTTTTCTCTTATCTCTTTCTGCTCTATTGCAGCAACATGTAACGGTGTGAAATGCCTGAACGGTTTAACATGTGTCGAGGATCAGTATACAATTCCGCATTGCATTGTATGCAAAATCGAATGTGCGCAGGACGATGATCTCGATAGCAATGGCATTGATGTAGACGCTACTCAAGCTGTATGTGGCATGGATGGTAAAACGTATAAGAGTACTTGCGATATAAATCGCATGGTTTGTAAAGTTGGTCGAAGCATTGGTGTTGCATACCCGGGACCATGTCGTGGTAAGTATAACATGTCTAATGATGGTTACAGTAACTCAAAGTCGTCGCTTTTTACATCATGTTACTAGTGCGCAACGCGAAAGCTGTTGTTGCTTTTCGTGTTTGTTGTTATTATTATTATTGTTGTTGTTGTTGTTGTTGTTCAAACAAATCATCATGCTTTGCACAATAATTTCCTTTTGCGCACGCCCATAATTACATTCGCGTACCACCGCACAAGACAATAATGATAGCAATAGGCTGTAGCTGCCAGTAGCAATAAAAGCTCCAGCTAACATGAGATGCATATGTGTCAAGCATTCAGTTTACATTAGTTGAAAAACAATAATCATGTTTTTTTCCTATTTTTTTTTTTTTTTTATTTTTTTTGCATTCATCGATAATTGCATTAATTTTCATGTTTAGTAAACGAATGAGTGGATCGCTGACCGGCTTCCTTACACAACGTATAATTTTCGTTTGCTGTCACTTGAAGTTTTCTATTTCTTTTATCTATTTTCTGCACACAACATATACATGCAGAGTTTAAACATATCACATATAATCATATAAACAAAAAAAAAAAAAAAAAAAAAAATGCATATATGCAAGAAGACTGGACTTGAAGAAATATCAGAAAACTTATTAATTGGTTCTGAGCTGATCAGATATTTTAAGATTCATATGCAAGAAGGCATATGGAATACGTTATCGAAACCGAAATCAGATTAATTCATTCCATCTGATTGCCTATGGGTTTTTCAGATAGTTTTAAAACTTCAAAGCCAATGTTTACCTCAAAAAAAAAAAACTTCACTGAATAGGGTTTCCCTTAAGCGATGGAGCGTTGAAATGGTGTAAAACTCTTTTATAAAGCCTATTGGCATCTTGTTGTTATTTTGCCTTTCATAATACGCTCAGTTGTATCAATTGTTGTGACGTTCACTGTATACAATGTCAGCGCAATATACAGATCAAGAGCTTCACGCCTTGAGTAGTTGATGTTAATCGTTTCCATGGCGTGGATTAACGATGATTCGTTGCAAAAAACCTTTCTCATCTTTCTTTCAGATGGCACCGAATTTACTTAAACTTTGCGAAATTTTCGTAAGTCCAATATCTCTTCTTCAAAATGTTTCTTGAGACGCTAACATGCTTCGTCTTGTCGATTGACAAATAAATCTCATTAAATATAGTTTTAAGTTAAAATGACTTTACTTTAATACAAAATAATAATTAAAGCTTCACTATTGAATTTTACTTGTTAGCCAACAATCTATTCTCTTCCCATGGGTACACACGGTAAGGAGATCATATATATTTTGATATAAAGTCTAAAGGTATGGAGCAAAATAGGAAAGTCGTAGTATTCTCAAACGTCATATATATAGTGTGTATTTCAAATATATTACGCGTTTTCTCAAGTCTTCTTGACTATTTCATGCGTAATTCCAATACAAGTTCACAAGTATGCTCGATAAATTTCTGCGTACATCTATATATACCTTACCTATATCTTATTAATTTTAGCATTTATTAACTTATGCTTACTTAGGTTTTTGTGTTTATTTTATTGAAAATATAGCACAAAATTATATTAAAACCTACTCAGTCGAGTTGCATCGATGCGCCAATGCCTAAGAAGATAATATATATGCTTAGGTTATACGATACGTAACCACAGTTTTGCATATGATTGACTTGGGTGCACGCTTGACTTTGCATATTTGTCGTTGAATTAAATTTCACAAAAAGAGGTAGCAAATGGAAAAGAGACAGAGATAGATAATATGTATAGAGTATTGTCATGTATGTGTCATCAATGACTGCTGCCATCGTGGTTCAGATTAAATTTCTTTCATAACAACGACAATGCGCACAGTAGCAACCAGCAGTAGCAATAATATGACAAACAACACATACAGCAACAGCGACAACAGCGACAACAATATAATAGCAACAAGCATAACTATAATAGCCGCAGAAATAAAATTGATTGCTATATGGCATCTGTTTGCTCAATGAGACGCATTCAGTTCGTTACAACCAACCAACCAGCCAACCAACAAACTAACGCAAACAATCAAGCTAACCAAGTTACAATATATGTACATATGAACATAGATGAACATAATCATAAAATGCTATACATATTTACATACATACATACATACATGCATACATACATATACATACACTAAAGCTAACATACATTCAAACGTGCTATAGACATTCTCAGCCATCGTGCAATCAAGCAACGTATTGTTTGGTCAATGGATGCATCACTTCAATTTGATGCTGAATCTGATTGAGATTGAGATTCAGAATTAGATTGAATTTCTAACTGAATATCGATGTTTATATATATGTTTATATGTGTGTGCTTGCAAGTATGCATATCGGTCACAATGCATACACATTCACATATATGTATATATATATATATATATATATTATCATCATCATATATATATATATATATATATATATATATATATTATCATCTTACCACGAGTTACCACGAGTTGTTATTGCTATTGTTAATATTGAATAAATCATGATTGCAATGTGGTCGAAAAATAGAAATGTCTTTCTCAAGTTTCCAATTAATTGCATCCAGCAGAATTGCACACGTATAATGTACGAGCATGCATAGGAACGCATTTCCCATAATAAACTCAACTAACTAAAACTCGCTGGATGATCATTAATTCAATTAAAATCATACCTTTCAGTCACTAAGAAAAATTTTAATTCACCTTTTCTTTCTTTTCTAAATAACACTTATTCAGTCATTTATTATCACCAGTAATTATTGATTATTACTTCACTGCCGTTCGTGTGAATGTGTATTGAAGAAAAAACTTTAAACATAAACAACTACATTCAATTTAAATCTCAGGACTCGAAAGTACTTCTGCGAACTTCTGTTGATTTAAAAATTAAAAAAGAACGCAAGTAAGAAAATTACATTCGGTCGTGACCGATACTTTTATGCCCATCACCGTGATTCTAAAAACAAAAAAAAAAGGAAAAGAACTGAACTTTCATACTCTATAATATTGGGTTTTTCTATTTTCACAACAAAAGTGCAAATTCATGAGCAATAAGCAAAAAACATGGAGTGGAAAACTGTTCACAGTTTTTGTTACATGGGCGTGTGGGTGTTGTAGGCAAGTTCTTTGAACAGTTATTGCCACTTGCAAATTCTTTTGCAAGCTTATAGACGATGTCCTCATCTTTGCGAACGGGAGAATATTTACCACAGCTACGACTGCTCAGACGGACAGATGGACAGACGAACAGATAAAGGCACGGACATGCGTAGGTACATTACGAATTTGAATTTATATACTTTATGGAGTTTTTGAAGCTTGCTTTTGTGTGTTACAGAACAGAGCAGGCATGGCCCAGTTTTTCCAATTTTGTAGAGGTACTACTATAAGATAAGTGCAAGAACGTCCAATGCTTCTATTAAATCCGAAGTCGGCAGATTCATTTTTACGGCTAACAGAATATCTACAACAAACATTACACAGACAGACGGACGGACGGACGGACGGACGGACGGACAATCAGACACATTTAAATCGATTCAGAATTTAATGCTGATCAAGAATATATGCGCTTCGTGAGGTCTCCGAAACTAGCTTCTAGACACTACAGAACGAATATATCGCTCAGCCTATGGGAATCGGGTATAAACCCCGATTTATTCATCTCTAGCCCTAAAAGTTCCAAACGCAGAGTTTACGAATTTCTTATTCAAGTTTCAAACCTAATAATATATAAACTATTTAAGGAAAAAAGACGAGCGTCTAGTGCTTGCTTTTCAGTAAATTTTACCCGCAAGTCCTCATTAAAGCGAAACATGACTTTCAGGTTTAAAATATCTGCAACAGAAAAGGTTGCATCTATCCACGTGTTTCTTCGTTCATTAAACCCGTTTCGCCGTAAAACCTATAAAGTTCTCTTGTGATATTATCGCTGCTTGATATTTGGTTTCCTGCCATTGCCCTCGAATTCACTTACCCACGTTCGTAACGCTTTAGTTTTGATTAAAATGCACGTTTTACCTTTAATTACAACAACATTATCAATTACAACAAACGTATCACTAAACGTACAATTTGTAACGGGCTCTGCCTTTGAACAAGAACATACTAGCAGCAGATCAAAAAACCGAGTAAGTATTCCGTTGAATTTTTTTCAGTTGCTTTTTGCTTTCACCGAAAGTTGAGGGATATATTCATTTGATCAAGACGTTTGCAACGCCCAGAAAAAACCTTCAGAGATCCCACGAAATATATATATTCATGGTCAGCATCAAATTGTGAATTGATTTAAGCATGTCCGGTTATCCGTCTGTCCCTCTGTCCGTCTATGCAATGTCTGTTGTAAACATTCTACTGGCCGTAAGAATGGAGCTATCAACTTCAAATTTAACAAACATATTGGAAGTCCTCGCACGCAGATAGGTATTGAAAATGACCCAAATTAGTCGAAGGACCCGCCCACACGTAAAGTGAGAAAGCCTCTGTTTCCTAAAAGTAATTAAAAGTTGGGTTTTTAATCCTTACTCATGAACTATAGCAGATAAAAATACAACAATTTTAATGCGAATTCAATAGGTGATGCTATACCTGCTATCTGAACCAAAATGACAAGGCCTAACCAATATTATAGTGTATAATGTAACAAGCTTCAAAAACTCCATAAAGTATATAAAAGCTTGGCCAGTTTCAAGTTCGCAGTGCACCCGGGACATGTCAGTCTGTTCGTCTGTCCATCGGTCCGCCTGCTTAACGAAAATGAAGATATCGCCTAAAAATTTCCGAAAAATTTCAACCGATTTTGAGAAATAAAAAATGGATCAACTATAGTTTTTGATAAAAAATAATTTTTCGATCATTATTATTATTTCTTAAACATACTTTTAATTTCAAATTTAATTTTTTTTTTTGTGTTATAAAACCTTGAAGTTACGTCACTTGATCATTTAAACGTAAATTTAAAAAGAA